TGAAGAGACCAGGGACGCGCATTATAAAAACAACATCGCGTATAAACAGTTAGTTAGTCGTCGTTGGACGTACGAGGTATACGCATCGTCGTCGTTCGTGCGGAAGATTGGTGAGTGTTACGAATCATTATCTTCTAATCTCCATCGTGTAATCGGGGTCGAGCTTTGTTCTCTTTGCTTCGTTCGCCAGATCAGAGCGTGACAACTACACTGCAAACCCGAGTGTGTTATTTTGACGCGTACAAGCTTCCTTTACGCGTATCTTGTCGTCTTAAATCACGTCGTTTAATGCGTTTAAACGCGTTAAGTGATATTGAAATGCATTAAATGACGTGATTTTAGACAAAAAAACGCGTGAAGAAAGTTTCAGCTTATATGTGTCAAAATAACACACTCGGGTTTGCAGTGTAGTTGACTTCTTTTAATTCCGAACACGTCGTGCGTTTTCCCTTCGATACCGGTCAAGCTCAGAAGCTCTCCTGGTAATTTTTAATTAGTTGTCGCGTGAGGTAATTACACGGAAACTTGACACGGAGTGTCACTCAGTGCATTTCCGGATCTTGCTCGACCGCAACAGATAGGCATCTATAGATTGCGTATTATCTTGTCTTTTAATTTTACTTCCTCGAGCCGCTCGTCTATTTATTCGATTTTTCTATGCGTACGCATAAGGGAATAAATAAAGGAAGAAAGGTCATATCTAAAGGACTCACTCCCTGTTGTTTATTTATTTTATTCGTTTTACAATCTATATGTTCAGACGAATGTTTCCCGTCGCGCTAACAAAAAATGTTGTCGTTCGACGTCGAGTTTTCATCCGATCTCTATTACCCAGATTGAGATATTTTCTCCGCGCATATAAGAGAAGCTGGCTTTCGTAATACGTGCTGCAAAATATTTACGGAAATGTTATCATGCCCCATCGTAAGCCCCGGTGTATTCAAGGGAACGTCCATTTTAAACCATCGAGTTTAACACATTAAGATAGTTTCTGGCTACTCAGGTTCATAAACTATGAAGGTTCATGAACCGAAACCAGGAATATCCAAGAGTAATGACCTTAAAAAATTGATCGCGTTCGCCTCGCAAACGGTCGGAACAGTCTGTTCCGACAGGTCTCTTTTTAAGCGCCTCGTTGACTCTCGGCGTGAAACTTCCGGCGAATTTCGCCGATCCTCCCGTCCATCCTCGCTTTTCGCATTCATCGGCGATGTGAGCGCTTTACGTTCATCTTCGCGTTTAAGTAACGCGATCTCGTTACCTCGACGTACGATTTATCCGGCGCGAAACTACACACGAGGCAGTCTTTAAATTAGGGTAGCTGCGTTCTTCGCTGCTTCGCCGAGATCGGGGCCGCCGCTTCGGCGGAGATTTGCACAGTTCTCAACTTCGCAAATTGTGTGCACACAATTTGCGCGAGGGGCATGCCCGCGAACGCGGGCGAGGTCGGGACCTCGCAGAAATTCGAGCCTCACGAGAAGCTGGACGGTATGCTTGAGTAAGAGAAAGAGAGAGTGGAGGCTAAAGGAGAGGAGAGGGCGAGCGAGTTCACGGTGAATGTCTCGCGGTATGTTTGCATAACTACTTCCCCTTTGAATTAGCAGGGTGCCTCTCCGGCACCGGCCCACCCCCCGTCGGTTTGCTGCCCCGACGACAAAATGCTTTGTCGTGAACACATAGCTCGTCCTCGAAGTTCGCCGAACGCGTTAAGAAATATCGCCGGTAGTCGAAGAAATATTTCTTCGCTCGGCGAAAGTTTCGTGGTTTGTGAGTAATTACGCGAACAAATCGACCTCTCTCTCTCTCTCTCCCTCTCTCTTTCTCTCTCTTCCTCTCTCTCTCCCGTGCAGGAAAAGGGATACTTGTGTCTACTCGTCGTTCCGTCGCTTGCTCTCGCCGCCTACCACCGCCACCCCATCGCCATCGACCCTTCCCCTCCACTCGCCTTCGCGGTTTTCACAGTTTTTTCACCTCACTCTGTACTCGCCGGACCTCTTCAGACAGAGCAAGCAAAATTCAACAGCATAGGGGGCAGGTGGGTCCGATTGTTAAGATAATGCTCTCGACGGTGTTAACCGGAGCGGAAAAGCTCGGGATCAAAATAGAACGGTTTCTGCCGAAGCGAATTGGGATGGCAGTTGCACGCGCGAGTTGCGGCCATCTTCAAGTCGCGGCACACCGCCGGGCTCTGTCGCTGGGAAAAACATCAGCGTGGCCGACGTTAACATTCGGAACGGACGTCGACGTCGTGTGACAGCTCCGGGAAAAAAACATTTCGCACTCTCGCCACGATGTTGACTCGGTTGGCGTCGGCGGTTGAGGGAGGCGGCGGGGGCGGCGGGCGATTTGGATCGCCTGGGCACGATTTGAATCGTGCGATTTGCATCTCTCGATCGTTTCCCACCGGGCCGCGGCGTTTATCTTTCTTCAAGCCCCATAATTAACGAGCGCATTAGAATTTTTAATGATGACCCGGGTGAAATTTTCGCCGCGGCCGGGGTGAAATTACGAATTCAGAATTATGGCCGTAATATGCGCGGAGGAGGATCGCTCGCGCTGAAGAACGGCGACCTGGCTTTGTAAGCATTAATGAGATTAATTTGTATGAACGCGCGTATCCAGATATGAAGATCGTAAACTGCCGAAAGACCGACCTTGACGCGACTATTTCTCCCGACGTTACGCAAGGAACGATAAAGCAGTGCTTCGTGGGCGGGTTAAGGGCGGACGGGGGGATGATTTCCTTTCTGCGACTTTGTGCGATGCCGGTCCGCGGTTCTCATCGGGCGAAAACGAGAGCATCGCGCCTCTCTCTCTCTCTCTCTCTCTCGCGCGCGCGCGCGCGTAAATGTTTAACTAGGAAATGCGCTTGCGGCTACAGTTTGTCGGCAGCTGAGCATTCCACGGTTCTTGTTACCGTTGATTAACTGATTTATGAGGTTGCCTAATAACTATTACGCGCGGCTAATTATGATATTAGCTAATAGCGAGCGTGGCGAATTACATAAACTGGCGAATGCAGCGGTCAGTTGTAACTAATAAGTTACCCTCTCGCGTTCGACGGCGAAAGCGATGCATAATTCATCTCTTGCGGTGAACATAACATTGTGCATATAATAAATACGCACAATGTTGCACGGTTGTGCGGAACTGTCACGGGTTTTCGCAGAGTTCATCAAAGATTTCCATTCTTGACCGCGTTAATCGATGATCGGACGCTTTATTCTCGCATCTGTGTCACGCCGTCGTGAGATTAGGACGCAAATTCCATGGCTGAGTATCGATTGTTAAACCGAGACGGTTTAGTGACGATTCCGTTGCACTTTACAAATTCGCTCCATCGATCGCGAATATACCAGCCCGTCTATACATATAGAATACACAAGTGGAACTCATTTATCTCGGAATATACCTTTTAAAGTGCAGAGCGCGTTGTTCTCGCGCCATAATCCCGGGTAATTACGAGCACTTTAACGAACGCGATTAATGTTAATTATCGTGAGGGAGATAGAGAAGGAGAGAGATGGAGGGGGGAGGGGGGGCAGGAGAGAAGTGCATGAATATACACGCGTACGTATAATATGATATTATAAACCTTCGATCTCACACGGGATATCGTATTAGCGGATACAATTGATCGTTACGAATTATTATTGCGCGTAGTCGCGGCGAATTTGCCGAGTTCTACTTGGCGTCGTGCGTCGCGCGCGGCGGGCGCGCAAATGCACGGGCGAAGTGCATCCAAGGAGGACGCCGCGCGAGCGAGAAAAGGGGAACAGAAGACGCAGACACACAATTCCGCAGGGCGGTGCTGAGCGGAGCGACGCGCGTCTCCAAGTGGCGCTTAAGCGCTGCTAGAGGAGCGTTACAAATCGAGGGGGTAGGAAAAAGCGTTTACGAAAGTTTTCAATTACATTAGAGGCGGGCATTAAGCCCGTCGTCGACCTGGCCTGCGTACGGTTCACCTGGGATCCGCCATGGGCTCTCTCCGGCTCGATCCGAGGGGGATGAAGCGGGTAAACTTATAAACTATGAAAGTTACTTTCCTATTCAATGAATTGACCGTGCATCCTTCGGTACGTGCCTCGAGACCATTTCACCCCCGGCTCTTTCCACCCGTCTATTTCTCTCCCCTTCTATCGTATTTCTCGTCTTGCTCCCTCTCCCTCCTCTCCACCTCTCCATCTCTTTTTCTCTCCCTCTCTCTCTCTCTCTCTCTCTCCCTCTCTCTCTCTCTCTCTCTCTCTCTCCTGCCTCGGCTTATTATCGCAGCGCGCGAGAGAGAATACGACGTCGGCAGATCGACCGGAAAATTACCAGTTCTCGCGGCGGGAACTTCAGCCGAAAACGTGGCTGATGAAAAGAACCGGCCGAGAAACCCGGTTCCTCCGCTCTCCGACAGCCATGATTGTGCGAAATCGAGTTATTTACGTTTCGCGCCGTTATCATCTCGGCCCTGCGGTACGGTTGTACGACGTATATATATATATATATATATATGTATATATATATACAACGGGAATTCAGACGAGCCCGAATCGCGGCGAGTAATCAGCGGAGGCGCGCGGAAGCCCCGCGAACGCCTCGTGTGTGTCGAGAATCTTGTGGTATCAGCAGGCGAGATCGATATGACACGTGCGTGGAGACTGACTAACGACAATCATCTGGCTAGCGATAAGCCCGAACGATCGATAATTTTGCAATGTCGATGTGTTGCACGCGCGGCTTCGCAATAGAATTCGCGCGCACGCGCGAGTGTCTGAAATGCTCGCTTGCTGATGCTCTGGGAGCATCAATTTTCGTCATGTCGACGACGACGACGACGACGACGACGACGACAAAGACGGCGACGACGACAAGGACGACGACGTCGAGGACGTCGAGGACGACGGTAACGACAGCGACGGCGGCGGCGGCTGCGGGAGATACGGCCTGCTGACTTTTACGACGTGTACGTAGCCGCGCTCTAATGGAGATATGGTTTTGTTTCCTTGTTACAGAAGTGGAAAGGAGTGTAGGCGCAACACCGGGGGCGGCGGGTGCAGCTGCAGGGGGCTCTCGGGGGCTGTCACCCTCTCCAGCCCCCTCGTCACCGTCGACCCCCGTAGCGACTAGTCCCTCCGCTTCCGCCTCCTCGACTTCGTCTTCGCCTTCACCCTCTTCTTCTTCAGCTTCCGCCCTCGTCGCGGGACTCGATAAATCAGTGCTTCAGGTAAGCTCGCCTCGCCTCACCTCGTCTCGCCCCGCCCCGCTTCGCCTTCTCTTCGCTCGTACGCGTGCGTGAGGCTGTCGAGACAATGGCATTATGTAACCGACGAGCACACGCACGTGCGTGAGGAAGGATGTTACGCGGCTGACGTTTATTTTCTCCCCCTCGCGACTTGAGCGCGCCTCTCAAATATTTATTTCCGTTCGCAATGTTTCCCATCTAGCAGATCACTTTCCGTTCGTTCGCGGCCGAGATTTCGCGGCCGGAGATGATGCGCAACTACGATCGCGCGTATCGGTACACGCTCGATGCGTGGAGAAGGTCACAAAATGAGAGGGCTCCTTCGGTTTTAATTTGAAGACTGTCCTTCGTTCCACGGTCGGACTGTAATGAAGGCAGTTACTTTTAGCACACGTTGTATTTTAATTAGAGGATTTCACTTACCCCGGTCTGTGTTTAATGTTAGGAATTAAATGCCACGAGCGCGGCAAGCGCGGAAGTCGCGTTCGCTTTTCCGTCGCGGAGGGAACGGGCCTTTTGTATTTTCGTAAATCAATCTCGCGAATATATATATATATATATATATGTACGCGCGAAGCGCGCTTTCATGTTGGCGCGCGTCCGGGGAATCGGCGGTTTGATAAACCGACGCCCCGTTACGGCCCCAGGGATCAAAAGCTCAGGGTAGGGACAGATAATAATTATCGGTTGGTTAACTTCGGAGTTCCCGATCGCGGAGGATATCGATTTGATTACTACTCCGCTTGTGTGTATGTGTGTGTTGCTGCGAAGGCCTACAGATATATACGTACTCTCGGCGTGTTTTTGCCGCGCTGTGTGTCGTACGATAGCGCGTTAGTGCTATTCTCGCACGGGCTCGATTTATCCTTAAAGTCTTCTCTGCCGCGATCATCGAGACGCGCTGTACCGAACGCGCGTGTATCTCACGATGAGAAATTTCACGTCGGACACAGTACGTGTGGAACTTGCGATGTAAAACTTCTCCGAGGACGTCGGAGTTACGGCGGTGAGAGAAAGAGAGTGAAAGAGAAGGATACAAGGAAGGGGAAGGAAGAAAGAGGGACACACACACACACACACATATATATATATATATATATAGAGAGAGAGAGAGAGAGAGAGAGGGGGAGAGGGAGAACTTGTCCTCGGGCATCTCGGCTAATTAAAGCGCATAAATTACGCGAGCGCGGGGAGAAGCTGACGAGAATATGGCAACGTAACGCTCGTTTCTGAGTACGACAGTAAGGTCGCGTGTTCTCCAGACGAATGCCGACAAGAAATATGTTAACGAGCCGGGGGATCGCGCGTTTTTCGCGGGAGACTCCGCGTCCTAATCGGAAGTGGAAAAAAAGGAATTCGAGTCCGCTCTCCTGTGGAAATGTCAGAGAACCCGGGTTTCGGGTTAATGTGTTATCTCGCTCGCATGCCGTGTAAATGTTCACGCGATATAAAAATACGAGCGACGGTGCATTACGGTCGGTGAAAATACGCAGGCAGTCACGTTATAAGCTTGTAACGTGATTATAGTAACATTAACTCTCTCGCCCTTCAGCCGCGCGGCTCTTTAGACATTGTGTACTTAAACTGAAGCAAATATGCGCCCGCGGAACGGGAGATTGGGAGCCGGAGAGGGGAAGCGGGGAGTGGGAGGGCAAAAAACACTGCTAAAAAACGGGCTCTATTATCCTTGATGGAAAAGCGCGTCCTTAGTGAATGTAAATTAAAAGCGGCTGAATTAAAGCGCTTTACGCGCGGATCGTGTTGAGCGGCCGGACTACATTACGATATTCCATTTTGCAGACGCGCGTCAGTAATGTCGTGTGGTCCCTCAAGAGGGCTCGCGAGGACTCTTAACTTGATTATTAAGGTGTCGACTAGATCCACTCTCCACAAATTAGTATTCGGAGCGGAGCGGTATATCTGGCGCGACACTTCCGACATGACGCGCGCGAGTGCGTATTCCTTTCCTCTCGCCGATTGGTGCTGCGCCTCTTGTCGCGCGATAGGAAAATACAGGCGACTGTGCATTATGATTGGTGGAAGAAGCATGTTCATAGTTGCATTGTAAACTCGCAGTGGAAAGGGTGTCACGCGTAGCCTTTCTCTCACATAAATCCTCTTCAATTTTGTCACGTTTTCTAACAGTGCGGCAGAATATAGAGATTGTCAGAATACACTCTGAGGGGACAAGTCGTTCATCTCACCGCGAATTATATACAGGATAGCCCATTTTAAAAGCCCACTTAAAATATTTCGAGAGAAATGCGTTACCCGAAAAAATGTTTCGGACAAAATTCTGAGGAAGCTCAGCCCGTAAAGCCCGACTTTTGTCTGAAATATTTTCCCGAACAAATATATTTGTTTCGAGATATCTTAGATGGGCGTTTAGGATGGGCCATGTTGTGTATTATCTGTTGCGAATTATCTGTAGTAACTTTTTACTAAAAAATTCTCTCTCTTGCCTTGTAACATGTGGCTTCTGAAAATTCTAAAGCTCCGTCTATACGCGGCATCCTTTGGACACGCTCGTCTCCGTATAATGACGGTAACTCTCGTTCTTTAACGTTACCGATGTAACAATAATCAACGAAAATGTTAGGTATATCGCGCTGGAAGAACAATCCGACAGTCGCCAAAGGCCGAGTAGCAAAGCCCATATCGAAGTTTCCACGCGCGAATTAACATTTATTAAAAGTTAATTTTATTCGCGTTTCCACTTCGCCGTCGCGCTTAGGCGTGTATGCCGTCTTTTATAGAGCGGCAACAAACTTTGTTACCGCTGTTCGCTACCTTCTGGGACACGGTTCGTCATAAATTACATGCAAATCTGCGGCGAAGTAGCGGGAATACGGAAACCGGGGATGGATAGATACTTTTTTGTACGCAGATGTCAAGCTGTCACGGATTAGTCGGGCGGCGTTGCCGTGTGTGACATTTTAACTTGGCGAATAACAAAGCCGCTGCGCGGCTATAAAGAATACTGTCCTTTCAGGTAACCCGATTCTCGTCCGCCTATTTATCACGGATTTGACGTAGCGAGTTAGTCCTTCTCTCATTAAATCTTAATCAGGAACAAAGCTGGGTCACCCCGAATGTCTTCAGATTGCATCCCATTCGTCTCGTGAAACGAAATAGTCACTTTATTAAATTTACTCTCGCGTAAGAAATTTACTTCGAAATGGTTGGTAAAATTCTCTTGCTTTGTCATCTAATTAATATTTGACCAAAAATCTCAAAAATTAATAATAGCACGTAATTGACTAATACAAATTAACTGGTACAACAGAAATTAATAATACGTAATAATATATAAAAATAATGTGTGAGAGGATATTAATGTGAAATATATCATTGTTTTCTTATACTAAATATCTCCTCATATATTATATTATTCCTACGTATTGTATTTCTGCATATTATTAATTTCTTACGCATTAATCAATTTTTGCTAATCAGTTACGTATTGTTATGTAAACCTTATGTATTATTAATTTTTTTTTTCCCATTTTGATCCCGCTCAATTTGTATCTCGCGAATGTCTCAAGTGCGTCGCAATCTGCAACACAACATTTTCGCGCGCAAATCGCGGGGAATCTTTTATGTAAGCGCGCGGTAAGCGAAGGACGCGCGAATGGCACAATAGCCTCCCCCGGCAAATCGCGGTGAATCATCATCGGAATTGCAGATAGAGTCTTCGGGGTTTGCCTATTGTTGATGCTGCATCGGCAATAACTTCTTATCGCGTCAGCATGCCGCCCGATGCCGGAATCTCCTCGACTTTGACTTGCAGCTCACATTTTGTCTCCGCTTGTGCGATCTGATTACGACGGCAAGTTTCGGAAGAAACGTAATCCCGACTGAATATTCGGCGATTGGCGGCACGAGACTTCGGTTATCAGGGACGTGAATTAGATTTGTGCGAGGGAAGCGGCGGTGGACACCACCACGGCTGAAAGTGGAAGGGTCCGGCGGCGTTCGTGCAGCCGTTATAACTCGGTCAATTTTATCGAATTACACCGCCAGTTTCTCTCCCTTCGCCGATCCTTATTCGCGCGCCACGACCGCGTTCTTACGACAGGCACATAATCCAGCCCGGCGTGTTTTGTGGTATAAATATGGTAAAATAAATTAAACCCGAGTCTCACTACTCAGCCTAACCACCCCGAATGTTATTTCCTCCCTCTCCGTCCGCCTCCCTCCTTTTCGCCCGCCAAAACCCCGCCGTTGAGTTCGAGTCCTGCGCCGTTGGGCTAGGCGGAGCGGAAATTTATCGTCTTTTACGGCATGGAAATTTAATTTAAGGCCGCACTTGGCCGGCGCGTTAACTTTAATTCGGTTTCGGCCGGGGTACGGTAGCCATGTCGGTCTACGTGATCAGCGTTTTATGCCTAGATGTTAATATCCTCGGAAGAATACACTCCATCTCGGCCATCGTTCGCAAGCGTTCGTTCGTTCGTTCGTTCGTTCGCCTGCGCTCACGCGCGCCCGCGTTATACGCCCTTATACCCTGCGGGTCCTTAAATTCGAGTATATACCTTCCTTGTTACGGCACGATATTGCTTAACGAAGCGTACCCCGTTCCTCTGCGCCGCCGCCGCCGCCGTCGTTGCTCCGGCCGTGCTCCGGCCTCGTTTTTTATTATTTCCAGATGAAGCTCGAGTTAATCATCTCTGTTAACGTCAGTTTTGCCGTCGTAGCCGCGCCCGTCCGCCGTGAACAGCGCGCAGACGTGTCCTCGCGAGGGGCAGAGGAGGAGGATACATCTTTTCGGTTTTAGAATCCCCGGGAGTCGTTGTATTTTCCTCCCCTCCTTCCTTCTCTCTCTCTTTCTCTCCCTCTCTCTCTCTCTCTCTCTCTCTCTCTCTCTCTCTCTCTCTCTTCCTCCTTTCTGTTGTCGCGCCGAGCTCTCGACGCGTCTCTCCGGCCTTTTCGCTCGTTTTCGCGCGCGCCTTTCAAGAATTTATCCTCTTTGAACTTTTACG